CAGTCATGCAGCTCAGGGCCTGGCACGTGGAGACAGCTCTTAGCATTCTCCTAGGCCATGGCAGGTAGTAGCCGATTAACTGAGGATTCTAGGCGGGAAGGTATGGGGTCAGATTGAGTTCTCAGAAAGTCCTGTTTGAATTTAACTTCAGCTCTACCACTTACCTAGATGGGTGACCTTAAGCAAGCAACTTCTGCCTTCTCTGTTTATTCCCTGAGCTCTACAATGGGAACAACAGTACCCATCTAATAGACTCATTATAACAATGAATGAAGGACTTCAGGGAATGCTGGGAAAATGAAGAGCTTAATAAATGACATCTACGATGATGATAATGATAGTAGAAAAAGAAGGAAAGAAAAAAAACCAAGAAAGAGGAATAGAAGGAGAAGACAGGCAGGAAAAGAAGAGAAGGACGATGACAATTTTTACGAAGCAGAAGAACCAAGAGGTCACAGACAGGCAGTGGTGGAGAGAAGCGGAGGATGGTGACGACACGAGGCCCACTCCTGTGGGTGGAGGAGCAATAGTCAGACACGGTATAGGAAGGGAGCATGAAGTCCACCCAGCACTCACAGGGCACGAGAAGCATGAGAAAGACAGCTACAGCCACTGGAGATAGTCAAAGGGAATGCTATCCCAGGAGGGCTCAGCTCGGAGGTGCACTGAGGAGTCCAGGGTGGGGCCCAAGAATGCTTTTTCTGCATTTGGGGCCATACTGTAGGCTCTGTCCCAAATCTCCCTGGAGGTGAGAGGCGGGGCTCCTTCTGGGCAGAGTCTTCTCAGGCCCAGACAGAAAAGAGGTTCAGGTGAAGATGGACATCTAATCCCCAGTTTGGGCCTGGTCCAGTGAGGCCTCACACTAAGCTCTGGTGGCCCTGTTTACTCTGTAGACTTCCCAGACTGCTAGACCAGCTCTGTTACTGCCATCCAGTCCCCTTTCCCTTTAGGCTTGGACTCTGCCCATTCTGAGGTCCCTGCCTAGGTCAGGCCCCATAGCCTGACAGACAAATGCTTCATTCTTCAGTGCGACAGGGCTCTTCTAACTGTAACAATACCACCAATAGTAGAAAATAACAAGTAACATTAACGACTGCCCTAGATTGGGACCTTACTAGGTTCTCTGTGCTGGGTGCTTCTCTGTTTCATCTTATTTATTTATTTAGGCGGGTACCGGGGATCAAACTCAGACCTTGCGCTTGTGATGCAGGTGGTGGACCCACTGAGCTAAATCCCTGGCCCTCATCTTATTTAATTTTAAAACAACCCTAAAAGATGGATAGTACCACTACTGTTGTGTGAGACTAAATCTAAGGGGGCAAATAATTTGCCAAAGGTAACCTTAGCTAATAAGCATCAGAGTCTAAATGTAAATCCAAGTCTGTGTAACTTCATGGCCTATGCCATTTCCCTCTCTTAAAACATATTGTTGCTCCTGAAATCACAGATCTAGTCCCCCAACATGAACGCAAGGCTCTATCTGGCTCTGCGATCCTGCCCTTCTTTTTCTCTCCCCAGAGACTGACTTACTGCTGAAGGTCAAGCCTCTGCCAAAATTATCCAGGGCCCTCAAGTTCTTCCTTCCCGTGGCAGGGCCGGGACCGTACCTACACTGACCCAGCCTGGGACTGGATGGGAAGCTCTGCCCCTCACCTTCCCATCACTTCAGGTCCCAGGGTCCCTTCCTTTGGACAGGGAATGGGGCATCTCCAGCATTCGTCCAGCGCCAGGAGGAGGACACACAGTCCACAGCATTTGAGACATGTGACAGCTTTCTCTCTCACACTGCTGGAGCTGCGCCCCGCTCGCCTCACAGAGTATATTCAGTGTCCTGAATGGAGTGTGGTCTCTCTGGGCCTCTTCACATGCTATTCCCTTTGCTTATAACACCTTCACCTGAGTCACTCCTAACAGACAGCTCAGTAGTGCCTCCTCCAGGAGGCCTCCTGTCCCCTCCCAGGCTTCCCCCAAGGCTACGTTAGTGTCTCCCCATCATGACACCTGCTACATTGCACTGTCACTGTAGTTTCAGGACTCTTTCTTCCACCAAACTGTAAGCAATTCTGGGTCAAGAAGTGTTGATTCATCCCTGGATTCCCATGGAATTACATGGGGGATGGTGGCAGTTATGCCTCTGAAGAGAGTTTCACAGAAGCTGGAGGCTGCCACCTCTCCCTATGGCTGTACCCTCTCTTCTAGCCTCAGCTTCCACAGGTACTCACCTGTCCACTGGTGTTCTTCTGAGATTCCCTGAGCACACATGCCAGGAGCTCCTGCACCTGCTTGCTAGTTTGGTAAAGACTCTTGGGATGGGAAGATAAAGGGCCTTTTGACAACTTGTTTGGAGTTATCTGTGCTACTGTCCAGGGAATCAAGGAACCAAAGGGCCATAAATGGTGAAGATAAGAGTAGAGTCAACCCTGTCACAGGATGTTTTCTTTTCCTTTTTCACACCTTGCCCTTACCATACCGCAGCAGGACTCCAGGTACCAGCACAGCACACACTGAGTGACTACTCACATAGCTAGCAGCAGGCAGCACCTGTGATTGAGGCTTAGCACTTGTTCCATTCTTGCCTAGCCAGGCCTTGGCTCCAAAACTGAGCTGCCTCCTGCCAGAATTTTGCAGGTGAGGCTCCAGACAGGTGCAGAGCTCACCAGCAGCCTGAGGCAGCATGGCTAGAAACACCACTGCAGTAGCAAGGCAGGCCTGTGGCTGGGCCCTGTGGCGAGGCACCAAACAGAAGCAGCGTGGCTCACATTCACCTGGGTCTCAGTGGCCAGAGAAGTGAAGCAGAGCACGGAGCAGTCCTGGGAGTGCCTTGAGCTTGGGGTGGAGAAGGATACTAAAGTAAGGGTCTCTGAGGCAGCAAGGGGCCCAATCAAAGTCCACTCTGGGTAAGAGGAAAGGTCAGGCCGTGGGCATCCCTGGCGTTGCTCTGGCAGCTCACTCCGAAGGCACCAGGGAAAGCCCACAGAACTACACAGGACTCTTCTCCATCTCTTTCTTTCCCCTTCCCACTCACCCCTAGCACCCTGGGAGAGAGTTATCACTCACACAAGGCTGGTCTTAGATCCCTGAGCATGGCAGGACGGGACTGAGCAGCGTCTGACTGTGTACTTCTGCTGTAGAACCTTGACCTGCCTGGGCTGGGAGCTTCTCAGTCTTCCTGCTCTCTGTGTCCTCCAACTCGAGCTGGCTTTCTCCTCCCTTTTGTTCTTTCCTTTCTCCCTTCGATGAACTGCAGGAACCCTGCCTTGACTGACCTTGGTGCTCTTGGAAGAAAAATATATCAATAGTCAGCAGGTTGGTCTGGTCCCTATGGCCTGCCATCCTTATCTGGACTGCCTGGCTTTTCCCAGTCCACCTAGCAGGAAGTAGGACCTGGTGTCTGAGCAAATTCCAGATTAATTCCAGATCATCTATGGTGACTGGGTGCTGAGGGTAAAAACCAATGGGCTCAGGGGCCTGCCCTGAGGTAAGCTTGGGGTCCACAGGAAGAGCAAAGAAGTGCCAAGCGAGAGTGGGCATATGTGCAGGCGGCCAGAGTGAGAAAGCAGCCCCCAGGGTCCCTGGGATTCACAACGGAGGACTTAATCTCCCTCCATTTCTCCCTTCAAAATGCTTACCTATGACTCCAATTCTACTGCCCTCAAGGCAAAGAGAAGGACTCGGGGGATACTGGTGACTCAGGTGCTAGGGTTCTGAGAGCAGGGGCTGTTCCCATTCTCTGACTGGCTATGTGGGCACTGGGCCTTTGAAGCTGAGCCTGTCTAAAGCCAAATGATCACCCTGCTGACTCGTTCAGCCTGTTCTGAGATGGGCCCGCTTTCCCTACTGTTCCACCTACCTGAATTTCTGGACCTGACTTCTGTCTTCTCTCTTCCTTGCTACCTACTTGACACTGCCTGAACTTGGCCTTGCTTGGGAAGGGGCTGTGGAGTTAAACCAAATCACACTGAGATCTCCACTGACAGGTTAAGCTGTCCCCACCCCCAACTCTCCTCTAAACCTCCAGAAAGAACAACTAGCTTCTTACTGTAGGCAGAGGGCCATCTGTCATCAATCTTTAGTAAGAGGCTTGGGTATTGGAAGATGAATGGCCTGAGCTGTACAGCTGGCCACTGGTGCCTGGTGACAGCTGGAGGGGAAGGGGATGGATGCATACAAGTTGGCAGGTGTCCCTTCTGGTGCAAAGCTGGGGAATAGAGGTCTCAGGAGAAGATTTAGTGGGTGGTCTACTAACAAGCAGTCTGCTATTACTCCACCACATAAGCTCCCTAAAAAAATGAGCCCAGGCACTTGTCTGCCTAGAACAGTGACTGCAGACTCTGATCATATCCAAAGAATAGAACCAGACTCTGGCAGTTTGGGGACGCAACTACAGGTCAGTGCTAAGGTTACAAAGACAGAGGTCCAGACTTCCAAGCTTGGAAGCTGGCACCCTCAAAGTTGAGGGGCCTACTGTCCCTGCAGAATGGCCTGAGGACACAAATATGGCCTTGCTCCTCTGACTGGGAAAGAGGGAAGGACCCATAAGACCAGAGTCACAGAGATCTCAGAGGGGTGCAGTGAGGGACAAGGGGGAGGCACAGGGCCAGGGCAGTGAAGCATGAAGACTGGGAGTAATCCTGGGGGTGGCCTTAGAGATACAAGCTTTCCTTCCCTGGGGAAGTAGGGCCAGGGAAGGCTCAGGACTGTTGGGTTCTGGCTAGAAGAGGTTGAGAAAAGGTGTGCACCTGAGTATTAAGAGGCAGGGAGCACAATTAGGTATTTCAGCTCCAGGGACCCCTGGCCTCTACCCGTTGGCTGCATTTGCTATCTTTCACCTTTGAGTCATTACTGCTTCTTTCGAAGGCTCCTACTTGTTCTTTGCTCCTACTCCTACTTTTGAAGGCTCCTGCTCTGGGGAGAGGCTACCTTGGAAGCTGGGGAGGCCAAGGCAAAGCCCAGGGCAAGAGGAAAGGAGCTGGTGGAGAGGAGGGGAGAGGGGAGCTCACCACTCTCTCCTTGTAGACGATGTACTTCAACCACTTGAAGTCCTGCCACTTGAAGCCAGCGAGGACAAAGAGAGAATCGCGCTCGTACTGCTCAGGCCTCTGCATGGCGCCCTCTGGGTAGGTGATGCGCAGTGTTGTTTTGCTGCCCACGTCTTTCTCAAAGCCCTTCACTGGCGCTGAGTTCAGTCTATAGAGAGCAGGCCCAGTCAGAGTCTGCGTTGGGCCTGTGTTTGGGGAGGCACTGTGACTGTAGAATACCTCGCGGCAGGGAATGTGCATCCAGGTCACCTGTGTAACCTAATTGCATACTTCAAAGCCCACCAACCCACCATGCTTGAGGCTGCCACCGACCTCCAGCCCAAGTGGCCAGACAGACAGATAGTTTTCAATGAGCTAGAGGTTTAGGATTTGGAACAGGACACTCAGGTGCCCCAGGTGCTGCTTTGGGGAGCTCACCTGACCACAATGTCATAATCGTCAATTCGTGACCCCAGAGACTTGTTGGCAAGGACACCTCCATTGCCCACGATGATGCAGCGGCGGCAGCGGAGGCTGAGGGGAGAGAGAGGGAGGCCTGTGAAGAGCTAGTACCAGGTCTCCTTCCCTTTGTCCCTTTGGTCTTTGACCCCAGGACCAGGCTGGATAGAGGAAGCCCAAAAGGCTTCTGGCAGCATTTCTGAGAGGCCAGAACTAGATGGCAGGAAGCTGAGCCCTGGGACCCTCCAACATCCCTGATCCCTAACACTTTCCAAGGGAATGGGGCACAGAAAATTTGGGAACCAACCTGGGAGGTGACGAGGGGGCTCTGGTAAGATGGCATTCGAGGGTAAAGATTCCTGGAGGGTTAGTGGGATTTAGGCAGCCTCAGAGGACACAGAAGTGGGCTGAGCTTCAGAGGCGCTACCAGGTAAGCAGGAGAAGAGCCTGGATGCTCCAGGATTCAGGGCTTGGCCTCCAGACCACCAGGGAGTAGTTCTATCCATTTCTGACCCTGGGGCTTCCTAACTCCAGGGTCTACTGGCTTCAGAGATATCCTGCCCGCTGAACGTAAAGCCTCGCTCTTCAGCTGCCCTAACCATCTAGACCTTGCTATCTTGCTCGTTGCTGGGCTGATCTTGACCCTCAAGCCTCTGACGTCTGAGGACTGAGATGTCTTGCCATGTGCTGCCAGCCCACAGAGGTGCAAGGCCACTTACCTGCTTCGCTCAGACAGGCTGGAGGGGCAAGGCCAGCTGGGCCTCAGCACCTCTGCACATGCTAGCAGCTGGGAGACAAGAGGCTCACCTGTCCAAGGCAGGGGTCAGATGGTACTCTTTGGTGACTGACAAGATGGCTTTGATCAGATTGTCTGTGGACAGAGGAGGGAAATGACTGTTAGAGGGTCACTTAAGTCCCCATAAAATGTTTGCCTCTTACTCTATCTGAGGGACAAGTTCCTGGGGCCAGAGTGAAAGTGAAAATGGAAGTGGGAAGAAGAAGCTCTGGGCACAAGGTAAGGCCAGGCTATTATCTTATCCGCTCACCACTTTACCACGAGCATCACTTGGGTGAGTTTGTTTGATGTACTGTCCCAAGTGTTGCTTGGGCAGGTGTCATTTCAACCAGTCACCTCTTGTTTGCACGAGATACATTTATACTTGTTTTTATATTCCCTGTATATTATCTTATAAAAATTAATGAAACAATGCAATTTTTGGTCATCCTGTATTTAATTAATTAGACTGGTAAGTGGTTTATGCTCTCCCTTGAGAAAGGAGATGAAGACGGAATCAGGCAGGCAACTCTGCCAGGAGCCAGTCCCTGACACAAGCACTCGTGTCCTTCCCAGGGCTTCTTCATCTTCCTTGGAGATTTGTGGTTTTCTGAGGCTCTGCAGTTGAGCCCCAGGATGTGTATCACTAGGCTAACATGGAGTCTCCCCTGGAAATGAGAGTCCCTACTCAGAGACAGAGACCACATGTGTTTACTTCTGTGTCCCAGCCAGCGGACATCCAGAAACGAATGCAGAGAGAGGGGTGCAGAGCTCACCCAGGCGGACCCCTTGCCTCAGCTCCTTACTGCCTTCCCCTTGCTTCCTCCCTTTTCCACGGCCAATCTCTAATCCTGCCCTTTGCCAGGCTGCCCCTCCCTCTTTCCTCCTCGGCCCCCTGAAGCCTGGCATCTGCCCACCTGCACTCCACTCAGGCAGCTCTCAGCAAGACCCTGGGGATCTCTGCACTCTCGAACTCTGTCCACTATTGAGACTTCTCCTCGGCCTTTCCCTGGCTTTGGCAATGGTGACTGCATCAAACTCTGGTATAATGAGAGCATGAAGATATAACAAAGAATGTAGAGTGAAGGTATTGGTTTTGGAGTTAAATCCTGGCTCTAGGAGTTAAGAGCTCGGTGACCTCATATAAATGACTTACTTTCTTTGAGCTTTAGTTTCATTATCTCTAAAATAAAGACAGTAATTCCTACTTCTCAGAGTCATTAGGAAGATTTAAGATAATGCACATAAAGACGTAAAGGCCAATTGGTGCCCCAGAGTGGGGAGCACTTACTAATGTCAAATAAGAATGTAGTGTGCTTGACTAGGACCCTGCAACACTACTCATAGGAACGCAGCACTGTAAAACTCACCCACTTGTTCAAAGAGTGTTCACTGCAGAGCTGTTTGCTAATGCTGGAGGTGAGCAAAGTGTCCGCCAAGGGAAAATACATTAGACGTGGCACACAAAATACTATACAGCCACATGCCCATGAAATACTATCCAGCACCCCCAAATCAATGACTTGGAGCTATGTGTACCAATAAACATAAGCACAAAAAATTTCTCTGAAGAATATATATACAGTGATACCATGCATAAAGTTGAAAACACGCAAAAATCAACATATTTGAATCTATATACATATATGAACGAAGTATACAGATGTCAACATCAAAACCAGAATAACGGTCTCCGGTGGGAAGGAAGAGCATAGAAGGGAAGAGCTACACAGTTGTTTTATTATAGCTCATACTTTATTTCTTGGGCTGGGTAGAGGGTATATTATTCCTTACACTTTTCATCTGTCTGAAATTTTTCATGTATAGAAAGGAGTCCTCTACACACACACACACACACACACACACACACACACACACACACACTCCCTCACTCACTATTTATTCCTGTATTTATTTACAGGGCTGGGGATCATACCCAGGGCCTCTCACATGCTAGGCAAGTGCTCTACCAGAGAGCCACATCCTTAGCCCCATGCATTTTATAAAAAGAGTGGGTGGAGACAATGTCAGGTCCAGGCCTGAAAAAGCATTCTTTAGAATTCACTAAGGCACTGAGTAGCTGCCCTGGAATGGTGGGGAAGGAGATGTTCTTCAGGAGGACCTGTTAAGAAAGAACAGGCAGCAGGCACAGCCAGTCTTTCCAGAAGCTGAATGAGATTGGGGTGAGGAACAAACCCTGAAGGGATGTGCTATACTAGGTACCCTCAGATATACCTTATAGTAAGCTTCAGGGAAGGGCCGCAGATCCCTACCCCCAACTGTACCTCTGAAGAAGAGCATATTGCTACTAATTGGCCAAGGTCAAGGATGTGAATGGGGTGGGGACGCTTAGAAGAAAGGGCATGCACAAGTAACGTACCGCTTGCTGGCCCGTGCGTGCTGCCCTGGCCTTCCTTGGCCTTTATGGCTGCATAATCAATTTTCAACTGGACTTAAGAGAAAAGGATAAACTGCTTGGCTACATGCACCAAGGAAAGGGTCTACAAACAGATCAACCCAACTCATTAGATGTGTCTTTGGAAGCTGGGGGTCCAAGTTCCAGTTCAAGTGATATTTTTGCTGGCCACTATCTTCTTTTGCTGGCTGAGTAATAGGCTTCAGTATTCTTTAGCCTCCTGGCCAATGATATCACCTCATTAACAGTTATTTTACTCTGACCACAATCATATAGGAGTACTATTTTTTCTGTTTAGCAGATGAAAAAACTAAGGCAGACAGGTTAAGTAGCATAGGTCACAGCTAGTAAAGAGGTAGTATGTGGGTCTGATTCCCCTATGTCTG